TTGACAGATATGTTGGGTACAGAGACAGTGAGGAGCTCAGTCACACAGGACGAGCTCAGAGTAGAGCCGCTGCTCCTTCACGTCGAGAGGAGCAGTTGAGGTGGCTAGGGCCACCACCTCTTGCTTCTTGGACATCTCCCTCGGGAGGCATTCCGGGCATGTCCCACCGGGAGGAGGCCCAGGACACGCTGGAGGGACTATGTCTCTCGACTGGCCTGGGAATGTCTTGGGGTCCCCCTGGAGGAACTGGAGGAAGTGTCTGGGCTGAAGAAAGTTTGGGAGTCCCTGTTTAGACTGCTGCCCCCCTGACCTGACCCTGGATAAGTGGAAAATGGATGGAAATGGATGGATGGATATATATTGTATTAACCGTATGTGTTAACTGTGGAAAAAAAACATGGACTCCCAAAGAAGCTGGGAGAGCTTGTGTATTTGGGCTCCATCTCCACAGTGTGATTAATTTAGTCGCTTAGTTCAGTTTTGGTTAAATTACAACCACAGACAAGACAATAAATGAATAATAATAATGATAATAATAGACTCAAAAGGAAACAAAACAAAAACAAACAATAGATAGAGAAGAAAAAAGAAATTATATATATATAATAAATGAAATTAAGTACAGGGTTCTGTATCATTCCATTTTTCTTTTAGATCAGTTAGATTAGATCATATTTAGGTTCTTTTATTTTATATTTAACTAATTACTTAATGATTTAATGATTAAAATGTGCGTGTTTTAATGAACCGTATCAGATGGATTTAAATATATATATATATATATATATATATATATATATATATATATATATATATATATATATATATATATATATATATAGATATATAGATATATATATATATATATATATATATATAAAATATAAGTGCATTGTATCGGCAACTTCTTAATGATACCCAGCCCAATCCTCAAATATATTTTCTCATGCAAATATATGAATTTATAAGGCATTAAAATGTACGACTCAAAGCCTAAATCAGTCTTTTTGTGACTTTTTGTCTCGATTAACCTGCCTCATGTCAGACTGATCCGTCACTCTGAATTGAGTTCCTCTTATTATCAGTCTGGAACGGCTCTGGCTGAAAGAGATCGGAAAACCCGAAGCATCATGACGAATATTTGAATCTGATTGGGAAAAGCTGGAAAATCAGACTTTCATTACATCGATTTGAGAGAGAAGCACAGACGTCTTCCTTGTTCTAAATAGACAGTTTTGACGCGAAAATAGGCTCTTTCGGTGTCGTCATTTTTGTTTTGGTTCGTTTGGGCTTCCACAAAAACCTCACACTGAAAAAAAAAGGTTGCTGGATTTGCGTAAAAAAGTTATGGAAAGCAGTTGCATGCAATAAAATTATGTTTAGGATTTGAAACTTATTTCGATCCCAAAACATTATTTCTGATGATACACTCTGTTGTACATGTTTAAATGCACTTAAAGCACTTATTACTACATTAATGGACCAGAACAGAATCACAAGAACATTAGAAGTGTATCTGCAGAAACAAAACTCACCATGTGCTGCTTTTCTTCCTCTAAAACGCAGTAACAGGGAGGGCATCTGGTATAAAGTCCTCCTAAGTGCCACATCACCCTGTAGAAACACGATAACTGTTTCAATAGGAAGTTCATTTTGAAAAATTTTAAAATAATTTTAGTTGGTTTACTTACTTTGTTCATCTGTGGTCTGTGGTTTGTTGGTTCTCAAACATCTTCCTTTTTTCTGAAACATCAACTGTAACATTCATGAACTTCCCCACAGCTCCAGCAGAGCTCTGGACGTCACTCTGTGTTTGTAGACGACTCTGGAACAAGCACATTTAAATCTTAGTACAAGTGTCACACTCTTGTAGACAGACAGTCAAAGACAATTTGTTTGAAGGAGTCCTTACATTAACTCAAATTTCAAATAAAACACCACAAACATGTTTTAACAATGACGACATTCTAGGCCGGAGAAGCACATAATAAAATCTTTAAAAAGTCTCACCTCCAGATCAGCTCTGATAATCCTCCTGCTCCACTCTGCATGTCCTCTGCTCATCTAACTGTCCTGTGTCCTGTTACATTTTAATTTCCCTCCAAAAGTTTTGGGGAGGAGAATTCCAGAGGGAGGAGCCTCACCACAGATTATAATAAAGTCATGTTTCCTCAACCTGATTAAAACATGCAGGTCTAACATCGGCCACAATCAAGCGACCTTTGTAAGATTTAAACATGCTTGACAGAGAAACGTAAAAAAGTGATGTTATTGTTGTCAAATTTGTTTTTGCAATTTGAGCAACCCCTCTCAGACCATTTTTTCAGTGCAGGAATAACACATGATGATTACATTCTGATGATCTACTCTGTTGTACATGTTTAAACACACTTAAAGCACTTTTTACTACATTAATGGACCAGAACAGAATCACAAGAACATTAGAACTGTATCTGCAGAAACAAAACTCACCATGTGCTGCTTTTCTTCCTCTAACAGGTAGGGCATATGCTCCTCCTGCTTCACTCTGCATGTCCTCTGCTCCTGTATCTGTCCTGTGTCCTGCTGCATAAAGTCATGTTTCCTCAACCTGATTAAAACATGCAGGTCTAACACTGGCCACAATCAAGCGACCTTTGTAAGATTTAAACATGCTGGACAGAGAAACATAAAAAAGTGATGTTATTGTTGTCAAATTATTTTTTTGCAATTTGAGCAACCCCTCTCAGACCATTTTTTCAGTGCAGCTCTGCTTTGTCGGACTCATCGCACCAGCAGGAGCCAAGATTTCAGTTTCATACATCTGATTTTCCACACATTCGACCACTCTGCTAATATCAGTAAAACTATAAACTAGGACTTTACACTAAAAATAGTTCAGAGATAATTCAGTGTCCTTGCTGTAGGTGCACATGTTGCTTAGAGACTGCACAGAAGAAAACGGCAACACATGGGACCGTAAATGAAAATGAACATATGAACTCTGCGGGGAACAGAGGCCAACGCGACACATGTAAAAAGAACAGATGCTACATACGGTAAGTGTGTACATTTGGAGACGGGCAACATGTTTGTGCATAATTAATTTAGCTGTAAATTTATGGTAAATTCCCCGCAGGATATCGTAAACAGAACCGAGTCTGTGCTGTGGAAACGAGCGGCCACACTGACGCAAACTAGTTTTTTTGTATAATTATTTTCCATGTTGCGTCAGGCGGTTTCTTTAGAAGTTGAAAAAATTACGAAACTACATTAAATTAAAGACCCTGACCTAAATTTATCTTGTCCCAGTACAGAAATATTATATAAGCAGCTCTTGAGTTCAAAGTAAGCCCTCTGTGTACTATCTGCATCTAATTTTAAAGCGGTTTATAAGCTGGAAGTGTGTGTTGGCATGCTAGTTGTCCTTACCGTCACAGCGAAACTCCTCAACTATATTTTAATTTCATTTTTCATTATGTTTCATGTATCAGTGTGAATGATAAGGAGCAGAAAGAAGTAATATCTGCCTCCTTTTCACACAAAATAAAACATTTCCAACACTTCGATGGTTCCAATTTAATGTGTAATCTGTAGTAATTTCTTTACGTGACATACACAATATTAAATACTTGTTAATTAACACAAAAGAACAGTTTCTCTGCCATCTCATACGTTTTTTAGCATATCGTATTTGACATTTCTTTCAAACGCTTGAATAGAGTTTTGAGTTTTGATCTTTTCATTTAGACTGTTCCACTCTAGCCTCTGAAAGTTGTGGAAATCTTTTATAATTAAATGAGTAAGGTAAATGAGGAATAACACTGGACCACTGCAAACTGTGTTTCACGTTATTAAAACTGTGAAAATCAAGTACAGCGCCTTTAATAATTTTATTTTTTTGTTTCTTATTTTTTCACAGAGGGACAAAAATGTAACCTATGCTTCATTTTTTGTGTGTATTTATATTTTTTGTGTGTGTGTATTGTAATGGGGAAAAAAAGTATAATATTTTTAATAATAATAATAATAATAATAATAATAATAGATTTTATTTATTGTATTTATTTTATTTTATTTTTATTATGAATTTGTATTTATTTATTTATTTTGTTGTTGCATCTGTAGTTGTGTCTGTGTCTCTAGTCGTGCCTGTGGTTGTTGTGGTGCATTTATTTATTTATTGGAAGTAATCAAGAGATCTTTTGACATCTTTGTTGGGCCATTTTGGCTCTTACTGTAATACAAATTATCCTACTTTATACTATGCAGTAAAATAAATACATGGATTTTCATTTTAATTTAGCATTCCCATTTATTATTCCATGTTATCACTATGCCAATTAAAATAATGTTTTATATACAATTTTTATTATTCATTTTATTTATTTATTTTTTATTATTTACTTGTAATTCCACCCCCGTACACTAGGCGTCCTCAGTGATCTCCACACGTCTAGCGTCAGGTGTTTACTAATTAGCTTCAATGCTACGTCAAGGTAACAATTTAATAATTTTTTTTACTTTTTACAACTTTACCTCCTTAATTTTAAACGAATTTATTTGCTACCTGTCCCATGTTGTACTTTAAAACATTTAGTCAAGTCATTTTTGGTTTTAATATCCATTTTTATATCATTATACATGATTTAAAGGTGCAATGTGTGACTTTTTTTGGATGAAAATACACCACCTATTTGTCTCCGTGGAGATGATTTTGCTTTACCAGTAATGTCCTGCAGTGTGGTACTAAAAGTGTATATCTTGCGTTTTAAAAAATTTGCTAGAGAGTGTTTTTATTGCTCAAAAAATCTTGAAAAACCTGCGTTCTTCCAGTGGATGGGCTCACTTCTCCACAGACCTGACCTGTAACTTCGCCTAATGATGTCACCTGCTTGTCTCTATGGAAATGGGTAAGTTTAATGCCGTGCTGTGAAACATTGCAGGCAAAACTATAACTTCTCCGTGCACTTTTTGGCATAAATGTGAAAAGGACATTTTCAATTTCCATGACTTTTCCAGGATTTCCATGACCGTGGGAACACTGAGCTCTGTGGAGAGGCGATCCCGTGCACAGTAAGAATGCTTCTTTTGTTATTTTTGAATGATAAAAGGAGCCATAAAGAAACAAATGCTAGATAGATAAGTTTAATATCATACTGTGGAACATTCCAGGCAAAGCAATAACATTTCCATGGAGTAAAGCCAGCGGCAAACCTCCCACCAGAAAAGTTACACAGTGCATCTTCATATTTTGTTTTATGTTTGCAGAAAATGACCTACTCCATCTTCAGATCTTCTCTTCAGCTCCTTTCTGAAGGGTAAGTCTATTCAAATCTATAAGGAAATAACATTCTATTTTAATGTTTTGCTTAAAGGTCCTATGTATATGACACAAAATAGATTCTTTTGAGCTTTAAGTCATGTTATAATGTTGTTACCTCCTCAAAAACAGACCTGGAGTTGTGTTTTTTGTTTTGTTTCACTCACACATGTTTGAGTAATCCTGCATTATTACTCTAGCCTGATTCATCAGACGGTTTCACTTCGGCAGGTACTTTTTCATTTAACCATTCGCTGTTATTTGGTCGTGACGTGATGTAATGCGTCACTAACGGGGCTAACTGGTATGTTAAGATTGATAAAATTCACCAAAATTCACCAAACATTCTCTTTGTTACGGTTTTAAATCCTCGATCTCGGGAATTGTTGCCAACACAGAATGTCTGTCTTCATCTCGACCGTTTTGTTTACTGTTGTGCTGCTCTACAAAAGGGACACAGACAGATGCTTGAGTTTGACTTCATGGCTTCACAGCTCTTCACTGATTGGCCGGTGCGCGGTCTACAACTTCTCTGGGTTCTTGCAAAGTGTATTCTGATTCCTGACCTAGTCGCTGGAGAGAAATGAAATTGAGCAGAAGCAGTAGGTGGCGCCATCCTGCCTAGTATTACTCTGTCTATATCTCCAGAGCTCAAAATGCTCTGTTCCACCTTGTGATGTGAAGTAGTGGTAGTTTTCAAGTTTTAACAGCTACCGTTTACTTTTAGTTCACTAGAGATTGGCAACTCCTGGACTGAAATAATCCAAATTACTCTAGTGAAGATGAAAAAGTGTTTTCTGTTTGAAAGAAGAACTAAACACATTGCAAATTTCTCTGATCCTGCCAAGATTTTAAAGTTACATCAGGTTATTTATCTTGTTTTCAGATTTATTATCGACTTACTAGTTCTGAGACGACTTAATTCTAGTCTAGAGGTTGTTTATTTTAAGATAACTTGTCAAGTAAAATGATCTTGCTGCATGGACAGATAATTTCACAGTTTTTAAGTCATTTTTTGATGAATTTAAGTGTTTATAGTGTCAATTTTAGACAAGCTTCTTTGCAGTGTTTGCAGGGTTTCTGTGTTAATTAAACGTGTCAATGAGACAAAACACAACTCTGTTTGTGACGAGGAAACAACATTATAACACAGATCAGAAAATAGCTTCGTCTGGGCTAATCCGTGTATCATTCGTTCCTTCGTTTTTCAATATAAAACCCAAAAATAAGAAAAAAAAAAAAAAAACTGTCTCCTTTATTATTTGTCTCCAAAACCAAAATGAAAAACCTGATAATGATTAGTTTTTTCAGTTTTCGTGTGTTTTCATTTTGTGTTTAAACGAAAAGTGGAAAAAATGAATAACGACTGTTTCCCGTTTATGTGACTTCCGTGACTGTGATGCCGGACTTCTGCACCGCATATGGACTGAACCAGAACTGATCCAGGTCCGGGACCAGACTGGGACCAGACCGAGACTGAGACCAGACCGGGACCAGACCGAGACTGAGACCAGACTGAGACCAGACCGAGACCAGACCGGGACCAGACCGGGACCAGACCGGGAAGACCAGACCGAGACCAGAGTGGGACTGAGACCGAGACCAGACCGGCACCAGACCGGCACCAGACCGGCACCAGACCGGGACCAGACCGGGGACCAGACCGAGACTGAGACCAGACCGGGACCAGAGCAGGACTGAGACCGAGACCAGACTGGGAACAGACCGAGACTTAGACCAGACCGGGACCAGAGTGGGACTGAGACCGAGACCAGACCGGCACCAGACCAGGACCAGGCCGTTACCACACCAAGACTGAGACCGGGACTGAGACCGAGGCCAGACCGGGACCAGACCGCTCAGAGCCCACTGCAGGGCCGGAGCTCGAAGCTGAGGCTCGGAACCCCACGGAGGCTCGGAGTCAAAGCTCGGAGTCCGCTCTGGTCCTGGTCTGGTCCCCGTCTAGTCCTGGTCTCGTCCCGGTCTGGTCTCGGTCTCAGTCCTGCTCTGGTCCCGGTCTGGTCCCAGTGTGGTCCCGGACCTGGATCAGTCCTGGTTTAGTCTGTATGCAGTGCAGAAGTCCGACATCGCAGTCACAGAAGTCACGTAAACGGGAAACGGCCGTCATCCGTTTTTTCCATTCTTCATTTAAACACAAAATTGAAAATTGAAAAAACAAATCATTATCTGTTTTTTCATTTTGGTTTTGGAGACAAATAATGAAGAAAACAGTTGTTTTTTCATTTTCTTAGTTTTGGTTTTATATTGAAAAACAAATGAACGAATGATACACGGCTTCAATCCCTTTAACAATTTTTGTTCATCCATTTTTAGAAATCTGAAACTGCGACGCCAGCCAAGAAGTGGACCAATGAGCCTGTCACCTAGATTACTTCAAACCAGCTTTGGTAAGACGTTTTGTACTTTCTGATCTCCCATTAGAATGTGAGACTGACAGGTACTCGTAAAAATAGTCGCGAAATTGTCAAATAATCTTATCAAGAATTCCCATCGGAGCTTGTCATTCCAGCTGCGTTCCCACTATATTTCCCCTTGACGTTTTTGGAACAATAGCTTAAAGAATTCCATGTCCAGTACGATAATAAGGACCTCAGGCGAGGACATGCTGAGCTGGCGAAAGTTGTCAGCCCCAAATCACAAAACCATTGAGCAGAAATGTCCCAGAATGCGTCGCTTCTAATGGTGATTTCTTCCCGCTGTCATAGTCCAGTTATTAGCCTGGTTGGGTTTTCTATATTTGGCCTGTCCGGATCTCGCAAGTGGCACTAGATGGAAATGTATAGCAGCTTTTGCCGATTACAGTGTATGAAGTTTTATAAGTAGAAGTTTGAAGTTACAAATTAGAAGTACTTTTTGCAATATTTAAAGGGTCTGAACTAGATTTTTTTTCCGTGTATTTGAGCAGAATGTGTCTTGCCCCAGTACACAGACTGTATATGTGTAAATATCGTCACATTGTATCGTCAAAGTTCTTACAGTAATATCGTGGGCCATCACAATATATCGAGTTAGAAGTCTCTCTGCTTAAATTAAGGCCACGTTTACACTGAAATGAATCACCGTATCACCGTACCAGAAACGATCTGCGTCCAGACACGTCATTTCTGTGTCCGCAATCAAATCCTTCACTATCCACACAGCTTTGAGCATATTTGTTTACATTTACAGAAACAAAACTTAAAACCGCATGGCTAATTTGCATAAACTAAGCACTCAAAAAACTGCTCGTTATTGTGCGCTGATGCGGTTCAGCTTCTGTCGGACTAAAGGGCACGACTCAGTGGAATATGAGTGTTGTTTCTGTGACAGAGGGGGGTTCTGCTGATGGTGAGTCTGTTCTGTGCTTCTGTCGCGTTGGAGATGGTTCATGTTAAACGTTTCAGAGATTAAACGTCTGCAGGTCGTACGCACAGACCGTATATATGAATGGACATATATTCTAGCCTCTTAGTGTTTTGGCAGTGAATTATTTCTCGGCGCATAGAACTACATCAGCGTATCAGAGCATCAACTTTTTCAGGCGTCCACACAGTGCAGGATCAGATCTGTACTCAGATGAATTCGCAGGAGCTGGAGGCACCAGATCGTTCCGTCTCTGGAGCCATTTTTCCTGTGGATGAACATTGCATCCACAACGAAAATTACTCGAATATGTACTAGTGTGGATGGGACCCAAGAGTTATGGTGCAACAATAACTAAAAAAAAGACAAAGAGAACTACATAGACCACGATCCTTTGCTCCATTTCAGTGTAAACTACAAGAAGAAAAAACTGTTCTAACACTTTTAAGTCTTATTTCTTTGGATTAAGTCTTGTCAACACATTTTAAGAGGAAAAAGTAGAATATTAAGATACTATTTAGTATTTTAGCTGTTTAGCCTCCACAAAATATCACAATAAATATCGTACCGTGAGATGTATATCATGAAAATATTGTACTGACAGATTTGGATATTGTTACATCTCTAATTGTGAGCCTCCCCACCATATCGTGAGCTTTCCCACGATATCGCAATAAATATCGTACCGTGAGGTTCATACTGAGACGATATTGTATTGTGAGACTTGGATATCGTTACACCACTAGTATATTGTAAGAGCAACTCAAAATAAGTCGGCTGCATCTAACTGGAATAGAGTATTATTGTCCTATAATCAGAGGATGACCAGACGTCCTTATTTACCCCGGACAGTCCCTGTGTCCCCTGTCCCAGCAGATTTATACAAAACCAGTGATTTGTCCCAATTTTATACAAGAAATGTCCCAGGTGTCCCTATTTTTGACCAGACTGATCCCTGCCTGTCATTTGTTTAGGTAAAATACAGAAAAACTGCTTTAAAATGACCAAACCACAAAGAAAATATGACTATACTGACTCTTGTTCGTCATGAATGGGCCCAGTGCAGAACATGTATATGACCCTGCATGAAAGTTCAAGCAAAAAAACTATTAAGCAGATCTAAACTCATGATTCTCTCCCAAATAAAATGACAAGTGACAAATAAAAGTGTTGGCCGACTAAGGACACCACTGACCGATCGATGGACCAAAGGATTACAAGCCACATACATGTATTTATCAATGCATATGTCAAAAATCTTAAATCAAAATGTGGAAAAGGGAATGTGTTTGAAAATATATCCTGCAAACGACATCTGTCTGTTTACTAATATTATTACTATTACAATTACTACAGTTTAGAAAGACAAATACAACATGAAGTTTTTTTTTGTTATGCTTTATTGTTCAAGTGCAGAACAGTGAGGGGGGTGAGAGAGGCTCTATATGCCCAGGAGCCTCCTGTACCACCTCCTCTTTTTCTTCTTCCGTTCCATCTCCAGCTCCTGCTCCAGCGCCGTGCTCTCCTCCTCCAGCAGGGAGCGCTGTCTTTCTGTGCTCCTCTGCTTTTCCTCCAAGGCGCTGAATCTTTGGAGCAGTAGGGAGAGCTCTGTGTTCAGCTTCTCACGGGTGTTTACGAGAGCTGTTTTCTCTTCCTCTAAAGCAGTCTTCTTCTGATGTTCCTGCTCTACCTGCTGGTGTAGAGCCCTTTTCTTTACAGTCAGCAGGGAGAGCTCTTCCTGAGTTGTTGTCAGGGCGTGGTCCAGTGCGCCGCACCTGTCCACCAGCAGGGAGCGCTCTGCCTGGAGGTCTTTACTGGTCCTCAACATGGCGGCCTTCTCATTTTCTAATTGTGCTCTGCCATGTTTTTCCTCTTTCACTTCCTGCTCTAGAGCACAGTTATTTTCAAGGAGCAGGAAGTTCTTTTCCCCACACCTCCTCAGTTTTACCTGCACCGCATCACATGTCTCGACCTGCACCGAGAGCTGTAATTTTAGCTCATCGCAGGTCCTCAACAGGGCGGCCTTTTCATTTAGCAGGTCGTCTCTGTTCAGTTTGTCCTGCTCGACCTGCTGTTGGAGTGCAGTGGTCTTTGTCACTAGCAGGGAGCACTCTTTCTCTGAGGTCCTGAGTAGCTCCTCTAGTCCACTGCACTTCTTCTCCAGCAGGGAGCGCTCTAAGCTTAGCTCTTGGCAGGACTTCAGAATGGTGGCATTTTCTTTCTGGAGCTCAGCACTGTTGTTTTTCTCCTGTTCCACCTTCTGCACCAGATCCTTCTTCAGAGCCCCGTACCTTTTTTCAAGGATGGAGTGCTCTTCCTCAGATCTCCACAGGCAGTCCTGCAGCTTCTCACAGGTCTGCACAATCTCTTGAACCTGTGTCTGCATGTGCTCTAGTTCCTGGAGCATATGGGCCTTCAGCTCAGCCTCCTCTTGGTGTCTGAGCTCCAGAGATGACCTGTCTGTTTCAAGTTGGGCCAGAGTACGCTCCAGGTGAGAGTTGCGTTCTCTCAGAGCAGTATTTTCCAAAGACTGTTCCTGGAGTTTAGAATTCAGCTCAGCAGAGTCCTGCTGGAGTCTCTGCTTTTCTGTTTTCCACTCTGCTGATTTTCTGCAGGAATCGTCTTGGTGTTGCTGTAACAGCGCTGTCAGGTCAGCGACCTGTTTCTCCAGTCCCTCAATATCTCGGGACTGAGGCTGGTTGTTCAGTTCATCTGCTTGGATGAACAGATCTTCTCCGACTCTGGCCTGAGCAGCTGAGGCAGCCTGGAGCCGAGACATGACTAAAGCCATGCCCTTCTCCTCGTCCTCCTTGGACCTCTGGTGGTGTTGAGGTCCAAGCTGCTCCCGTTCCAACTCCTCAAGAGTTAGAAACTCTTGAGGATTTTGAAAGGTGTGGACCACCTGTTCTGGTGGTCAGGTCAGGTGATTCCATAGTTGCCATAGTTACATATGAATTCCAGTATATCACAGATTTATTTGAAAGTGTTTTTAAAGGTTAAATATGTATTTTTGTGGTGTTTGAAGCGTCTGTCGTCTCCACCTGCTTTTCTCTGTGCAGACAACCAACCTCACAATATGACCGACGCCACACAAAGAGAGTTCTCCTGCCAAGATCTGGATCTTTTTATGAATAGTATTTGGAAACATATTTTCGTATGTGATTATTCCGCATTATTTCTATAAAAAAAGTCTGTTCTCTGGCAGTGTGAGCTGCAGGAGGAGCTCTATCGTGGAAAATTTCTTAGGTCTGCTTTAAGGTAATTCACCATCAATTAAACCTGTTATTAATCTTAAAAACTGTTAATCATACGGCTGTCAGCAGTACAACAGAAAGACTGTAAGGTTAATCGTAATCAAATCAAAGCAGATCTAAAACCAGGACTAAACCAGAACTAAAATCTAATCTAAACTTAAAACACTTCCTTTCAGCTCCTGTAGATTTGTTTTTGGCAAACGTCAAACAGAAGGAGCCCGGTGCCGCACCACGAGAGATTTGAGCCTCTTTCTTGGGTTCCTCTTTAAGATTAGAAAACCGCCTTGCTCTGCTCACGTCCACTGATATTTGAATTCAGACAGGGGACCCATTAGAGACGCGTAATGCAGTTTTTGGCAGCACAAAAAGCCCAGCCTTCATTAGACTGGCCATTCTTTATTTAGGCCTGACTCCATCAGCGGGACCTTGTCATTTAAGGACAAAAAAGCACTTTTTCAAAATAGTTTTCTGCACCGCGCTGGAGGAACGGAGGCCACGTTTAATCAGCGATGACGAATTTAAGAACGATCAACGCGCCGGCTTTGTTTTTGATTTGGCACAAGGATTTAAATCTGTCTGTACGACGAGACCAGGACTAAACCAGGACTAAACTAAGAAGAAACGAGGACGAAACCAGGACGAAACCAGAACTAAACCAGGACTAAACCAAGATGCAACCAGGACTGAACCGGGACTAAACCGGGACTAAACCGGGACTAAACCGGGACTAAACTAAGATGAAACAAGGACTAAACAATAAATCAGAACTAAACCAGGACTAAACCAGGGCC